GGTGAAATATCTCCTCAGTGTTTCATATAAGTGAAAATTCATGCAATTAATAAAAATAGTTTGCGAATAAAATATGAAATATTTCTTTAATTTATTCTTATTTCTATACAACAGTAAACCTTTTGTTCAAAAAATTGTATTGTAAGGGGAATTCTATGAAAAATAGAAGAATTCCGATAGCATCGCCATTAAAAGCGATTTTATGTTAATGTGCATAGGAGACTCTGAAGTGCCTCGAACGAATTGATGAAATAAAGTTTCGATCCATAAAGGAACGTCCATAAAAGCAGTCTGCAAACTAATCGTATTAAAGTTTTCGTTCAACAGAACCGCTTCCTTTATCATTTCGAAAACGAGAATATAAAAACTAACAGTCCGAGAATTGGTGAAATTTTTAATTACTACACTTCGTTGCAAATATTTCGCAGCAAGGTTTACTAAAGCAATTATAAAATTCAACGAGATATTTACATTTATTTTAAAGGTACTTTAATTGGTATTGAGTTGAAAATATTTCATAACGAGGCACGGAAACATTAATTGGCACGTTTTGGTTTCCTTTAACTCCGCGAAGTTTTAATTCGTTTAAACGTCGAAATTAAATTTCGTCGGGGTTTAAAATTCAATTTGGGAAGTGGTCGCGGGTCTTGGGATTTTAGATGTTTTATTCGGTTATTTTTAAATAAGTTTTCGGAATTTAGAAATTGATATTAGCATTCGTTTCTTTGTTGTTATAGTATACTAACTTTGTTTAGTTTTATTTCAGTGAACTCAAAGTTTATTTTTATTTAAAAAAGCACAAAAGGAGAAGAGTTGGAGTGAAGGAGTTTAAAATCAGCATAACGTACACTTTTAAAAATATTTTATTTTGACAAAGCGAAGAGATAAGAGCGAAAAAGTTTAGAATTCTTAAACCATCGTCAACAAGAGTGATCTTCCTTTTATGATATATGAATACGCTTTTGATTTTTATCTAAAATTGCTGTACCCTTATGACAGCCGCCATAAGATATCTCATGGTTCTTAACTCAGGAAAAATGACGGAAAAATATTCTTAAAATTTCTTAAATGAATTATTATAAATTATACTAAAAATTGTAAGAAAAATAAAGAAAACAATATCGTGTTTAGACATAAATAATAAAATAATAAAAAATTGATCAAATTTCATACTGTAAGCAAATATTTATATTTTTACCCAATTTATATTTTGATATCGAATAACATTTTTTTTTTATTCATTCTTCTTGTTTTACAGAACGCAATAATATTATTTAAATATTTTTCACTTGTCCAGTAGCATGACTGCAATTGTGCAGAATTGTTCATCGGTCGAACCACATTTTATTACTTCACATATGTCATGAAGTTGATTTAAAAATATTAGTGTTGTGTAAAATTAAACGCGATAAAATAAGGAAGTTGAAATGCTATGTCAATATGGTAATATGCAATTGTTGACTATGCAAATTATAATTGCAATTTAATACCAAATTAAAGCGTATTAAAAACTTGAGTAAAATTGATCACATCTGAAGGAGTGCGTCTCGAGTGCGTCGTTAGTGCGTCATGAATGCGTCACGAATGCGTCGTCAATGCGTCATGAATGCGTCACAAGTGCGTCCTGAGTGCGTCGTGATTGCGTCATGAATGCGTCACGAGTGCGTCGTCAATGCGTCATGAATGCGTCACGAGTGCGTCCTGAGTGCGTCATGATTGCGTCACGAGTCAAAATAGTGCAGGGGATCAAAGTCTCTATTTACAAAAATTAATTATTAATAATGAAGCATCAGCACATTAATTAATACCAATAAATCTGCGATATCAAATAATCTAATATTACATCGAATTAATTAAACTAATCATTCTGAACAAATTAAAAATATTCATTAAAATAAAAAATGCAACTGCGCAGTATGTTACTCTGTATTATTAACGAAAGATATTAAAAATCATTGTTATTTTCTTGCATCGTAATTTAGTCAATTAAATTCACAGCCCCGGTCGCTGATGAGCACCGAGACAGTCGCAACAGGCGAAATATTTTACATAATTTTCCTCTTCAAAAGGGAAATCGATATAATTGCAAATCATCAATTATGTAAATTATAATTTTAATTTAAATTATAATCGAGCTATGTATTCCATCACAATGGAACCATGGTCTATAAAATGGGCAAAATTCGATGTTTTAATCTTTTGACTGCAAAATACGTTCATTAATGAATACAACTGTAATTAATCATACGTGAGCCTTTATCGTGAATTCTCTTTGGAGGCATTTATTATTGTATTACACTATTAATCATGAAATATTAGAGAATGATGAATGTAGATGTGAATATATTAATATTCCAGATTTTCGAGTTTCCCAATTTCCATATTTACAAATTTTCGAGTTTTCAAATTTTCACATTCCTAAATTTTCAAGTTTCCCAATTTTCACATTTCCAAATTTTCAAGTTTCCCAATTTCCACATTTCCAAATTTTCAAGTTTCCCAATTTCCATGTTTCCAAATTTTCAAGTTTCCCAATTTCCACGTTTCCAAATTTTCAAGTTTTCCAATTTCCACATTTTCAAATTTCAACATTTCCAAATTTTCAAGTTTCCCAATTTCCACATTTTCAAATTTCAACATTTCCAAATTTTCAAGTTTTCCAATTTCCACATTTCCAAGTTTTCAAGTTTCCAAATTTCCACATTTCCAAATTTTCAAGCTTCCCAATTTCCACGTTTCTAAATTTTCAAGTTTTCCAATTTCCACATTTCCAAATTTCCGCATTTCCAAATTTTCAAGTTTCCCAATTTCCACATTTCCAAATTTTCAAGTTCCCAAATTTCCCCATTTCCAAATTTTTAAATTTCCTCTATATGTAGATATAAATTCACATATATCGTTTTTCTATTACAAACCGTTAAATAAATACCAAAATTTTATTAAATAAGCAAACGTTGCATATAATAAACCATCACATAACAAAATACCAATAACAATTCCATCATCTTATTTCCAACACAAAATTCGAATCGCAGAATTACGGCATCAAGCGCTAATGGCGCCATATTCAAACACCGTCTGAAGCGAAGCAATCAATTATCCGCAATACCTCACGGAATAAATTGAAGTGGTCGAAAACCTTCGGTAAAGGTCAAGAATGTTTGTGAAAGCAATTGGTAATGACACCAAACATTTTCGTGTGTAATAGGTGAACTTGTCCTTCCCAAAGCTCTAGCTTGCGATTACGGTTGTTTACATAGTACGTTCGATAAGCGGTATTGATTCCCGTGAAAATTTTCCCCGGACGTGGTTCGCTATCAGAATATCATCGCAATCGGTAATGCAATCTTCCTCTTCGTCAACATTCTACATTGTATTAACACTACGTGCATTACCATTTCAACGGAATGATCGAACGAAGTGACAAAACTGGTGCACGGATTTTAGGTGCAGAGTGAAGCCATGATTTAATCATGATCATTCAATTTAGATAGTGTTACATTCATTTAATATGGTTGAAAGACATTCTCAAATATTCCCACTTCATTTGTTTCAATTATTTTAACTGTTTTGATTATTTCAGTAATGTCAGTTTATTTCAAATTGTTTTTGTTATTTCGATTGTGTCAATTATTTCAATTATTTCAATTACTTCAATTATTTCAGATATTTCAATTATTTCAGTTATTTCAATTACTTCAATTATTTCAATTATTTCAACTGTTTCGATTATTTCACTAATGTCAATTTATTTTAAATTGTTTTAGTTTATTCGATTATTTCACTAATGTCAATTTATTTCAAATTGTTTTAGTTATTTCGATTATGTCAATTATTTCAATTACTTCAATTACTTCAATTACTTCAATTATTTCAATTATTTTAACGGTTTCGATTATTTCAATTATTTCAATTATTTCAATTATTTCAATTACTACAATTATTTCAATTACTCCAATTATTTCAATTACTTCAATTATTTCAGTTATTTCAATTGTTTCAATTACTTCAATTATTTCAACTATTTCAAATATTTCAATTATTTCAATGGCTTCAATTGTTACAATTACTTCAACTCTTTCAATTATTTCATTGTTCCAAAATCTTTTTGTCTGAAAATTCAATAAATTTGATCTTTTTTTTGCTATGATTTTCTTATGATGTAACAGAATAGTATAATTTTAAAATATAGTAATAAGCATAGTTCAAATTCACATTGAATTATGAATATTGAATTAATACTGAATTTTATTTGTTATGTTAATTGCAACGAAACGTACAGTAAATTGGGTGAAATTCAAGCTTGTCAAATACACTGGAAATCATTTTGGCATACAACTTTAAATGCACACAGTTTACAAACTGTGCGAAAGTATTTTAGAATTCGCAATGGGGAAATGTACAATCTATTGAAAAGTATGTGTAATTAAATATTATATTCTATGATACTAGTTTAATAGTTAAATGAATCGTGTCTTAATACTTTTGCAAATATAACTCGTTTGCGAGTGTTATAAATTAACCTCTGGACCCCTTAATTGTATTATACGTTAATCTCTGGATTAACACTGAAGTGTATTATAAACTAATCTCTAGATTATCCCTGAAACGTGTTGTAAGTTTATCTCTGGATTAACCTTTAAATGTATTATAAATTATTCTCGGAATTAATCCTAATATGTATTATAAATTCAACGTCTCTTAATTCTTAAACGTCGTATGAATTTTTCAGCTGCAAACGTTTTAATAATACAAAAGCGTGGAATTATGTGTGAACAAAAATAAATATTTCCGACATTTTTATGATGGATTTCTGTAGCATTGGTAGCCATTTCATAATTTTTTTTTTTTTCAAACAAAATAATACATCTATTTTCTTTTTTTTTTTCAAATAAAATATTTAGATCTGTTTTTCCACTTTCCCCGAATGATAGAACTCGCTAAAGTTTCGAATAATTTTTAACAATAAACATTTTAAAAATTTCAAAAGACGTACTTACACGTGACTGGTGAATAAATCAAAGCTCCGTCGAAACGCGTAGAAGAACGTCTTCTCGACAGCTGTCAGGACTACTTGAAGGTCATCAAGCTTCCTAAACAAAATTACGTCGCAAGTTCTCAACAGTTATTCAGCAAAGAAACTTTGCTATATTTGCTCAACTATTTATGCAATAATTCACCATCAAAAGTCTATTTTTCATTATGTGTATACAAATCGATGCATATCGATCGATCGCGAAGAATCGATCATTTGTACCGACACGGAAATTGATCGGTAGTTGGTGATTTCGTTAACTTCTTTTTAACGATAAATTTATCGATCGTTTGAACAAATGTGGAAAGTTTGAACGGAGGTTGCTCACATCGCGGCGCGCTGAGAACTGAACGCCTTTCGGCGCTGATGCGCTGATAGAAGGAAAGCGAGTGGGCCTGCGTAGGGCAAACCGAAAGGAACTTCGCAATATAGGGAGGGGTTGAAAGAGGGATGAGGGTGTTACGCCGATTCGCGTGGAAAAGATCCTGAAACGAGGAAAACTCATCTCAGTTTTTTAGTATCTGATTATGTACTAGATATTGGAATTGTGGAGGAACTCCTACATTGTGAAGAAATATTCTCGTATTGTGTAGATATTATGTTCTTATATTATGAAGAATTTTCCTCGTTTATTTTACTGATTTATCCTAGCGAAAATTATAAACTAGTATTTTTATAAATTGTTACGAACCTGTTCAAAATTAAGGTTGTACTAAATGTGTGCTTAATTTGAAATTAAAAATGGAGGTCAAAAATTCAATGACAAAATGTAAATTATAAAATGAAGGGTTAGATAGTTAACATATTATCAATATTGTTATATTCATTGCAGATAAACAGACTCTTCTAACAGAAAATTAAATAAAAATAGTATGAAGTCAAAATGGTTACATAGCTCGTTAACATATAATTTAATGTGTACCAATCATATCAATACATAAGGTACTATATTACCAATCATATCAACACAGTAATAGTACAATACTAAACAATAATGATAATGCAATACATAATTTAATGTATTGTATTATTACTTCAATGTATGTATTGTATTGTATGAGTCAATGCATCAATGTATCAATGTATCAATGTATCAATGTATCAATGTATCAATGTATCAATGTATCAATGTATCAATGTATCAATGTATGTATCAGCGTATCTATATATCAATGTATGTATCAATGCATCAATGTATCAATATATATATCAATGTATCAATGTATGTATCAATGCATCAATGTATGTATCAGCGTATCAATACATCAATACATCAATGTATCAATGTATGTGTTAGCGTATTAATGTATCAATGTATGTACCAATGTATGTATGTATTATAATTACATCAGCATACATTATCAACATCTCCATAATCACATTTTACAGATCCCATATAATTGATTTATTTTTAATCAATGCTTCCTGTAAAAAATTATCACCTGCTCTTTTCTATATATTTAATATTTTTCTCCCATTTAACTAAAAAACCGATTACCGGCCAGCACCAACGACGTCCCTCTGATATTTCTCCCTTATCAGAAAGGGCTTATGGGCTACAGTTTATCAACTCAGAACAATTGACGAGCATCAATCGGGCCCGGGGGTCCTTTTAACCGAGTCACGATAAACGTAACGAGTCGTAAATTGTACCTTGGGAAAAGATAATTAAGTTTTCCTTCAGAACGACATGAACGAAAGTTGCTTTTATACCTTTTGGGTCATTGCTTTAATCGGCAAGGAAAGCGTTACTGAACGGACGTTGATTGATTTTATAGCTTTCGATTCTTGCGACAGCTGTGGATGTCCAATATTATTATTTATTTTAAATAAAATTTTGTTACATTCTTCTATGTACAATAATTTTTATCTCGAAACATAAAATTAATTTTTGATGGACAGAATATTAATTTTTGATAAACAAACAAGTTTTCTGTAAACAGCAAAGTATGAGTAAAGAAAAAATTCTTGACGAGCCAGAAATAAATTAAAAAATTAAGATAATGTACATGTTGAGGAATTAACAAATAAATTATAAAATGTGTAGATGTCTTATCTAGTCTTTTTATTTGATGAATCAAAATTATTTCCATTTTGCTAAATGACAAGATGTTTTTGTATTTTTGTATTTTCATGACAATTTTATTTTTTAGTTACATATTTTATATTTCACATTTTATGTTTCACATCAAGATTACAATTTTTTTTTAGAAATTTTTAGAAATTCTTTTATCGTCAATTTCTCCATATTTGGTTCACCTCCATTTCGCCAAAAGAATACATCATTTTATCCTTCTTTTATTACACTTTTAAGAATATTTCCCATTCAAATTGTTCGAACATTTAAGTTTATTTTCCCCGGACGAAGTTCTAAAGCCGGGAGACAATAAAATAATTTACAACGGTAAATGAGAGCCATAAAACACCTGAGCTCTCTTATTTTGAAAGTGTACTCGAGATTGATCCAGCGAAATTGCCAATAAACACGTAAAGCTACAATTCTTCAGAGAAATATCTTCCTCGTCTTAAATTGTATTAAATCAAAATTTAACGCGATCGAAAATATTCGTGGTCGATGTTCAGTTTCAGTAATTTGCCAGTGTATCGAGTTATAAAAGAAAATAAAGCCTTGGAGAAACGAAGATAGACGGCTGCGATTGAAAGATGGCGTATCTTCGAAACCGTCATTGGCATTCTGACAAAATGTCGATGCCATTATCCTCAGACATTGACATTCTAATTTCATCAGAATCTCTTTGGCCTCGAAGGGAAATCCTAAAGGAATTCTAATGTAGCTCGCGAAAGCTGCTGTTAATTTTTTATTAATGTAGAGATTATTAAACTAAACTAGAGGTTAGGTTAAGTCAATTTTTATAAACTGAAGATGTATTTTATTTAATTTGTTATTTACTTGCTTTATAACAAATTTTATTATTTCTTCCAAAATCCCAAAATTCCAAAATCCCAAAATTCCTAAATCCCAAAATCCCAAAATTCCAAAATCCCAAAATTCTAAAATTCCCAAATCCCAAATTCCCAAATTCCCAAATCCCAAATTCCCAAATTCCCAAATCCCCAAATCCCCAAATTCCAAAATTCCAAAATCCCAAAATCCCTAAATCCCTAAATCCCAAAATTCCAAAATCCCAAAATTCTAAAATTCCAAAATCCCCAAATTCCAAATTCCCAAATCCCCAAATCCCAAATTCCCAAATCCCAAAATCCCAAAATCCCCAAATACCAATNAAATTCCCAAATCCCCAAATCCCCAAATTCCAAAATCCCAAAATCCCAAAATCCCTAAATCCCTAAATTCCAAAATTCCAAAATTCCAAAATCCCAAAATTCTAAAATTCCAAAATCCCCAAATCCCAAATTCCCAAATCCCAAATTCCCAAATCCTCAAATCCCAAAATCCCAAAATCCCCAAATCCCAAAATCCCCAAATCCTCAAATCCCCAAATCTCCAAATCCCCAAATCCCCAAATGCCCAAATCCCCAAATCCCCAAATCCATAAATCCCAAGATCCCTAAATCCCTAACTCCCAAAATCCCTAGATCCCAAAAAAAATTTCTCAAATCACTAAATTCTCCACTAAAAAAATAGTAAATAATAGTCACCAAATGAACAGTAACAAAATAATAGTAAATAATAAAAGAATAAGCGAACAGCAACAAAAATGGAATTTCTATTATATTGTCGTGTCATGCACACCAAGAAAATCAGGAAATATCCGCGATTTATGCACACACGAGGTCTCCTACGTCTTCTTCCGAGTGCTACAAGGAGATACAGATATTCAAATAAATCACACAGAGATCAACGAATGAAGATACAAACGCGCAGCAAAGGAGAAAAGAATGAGATTGAAAATCGCGTTTGTGGAAGAAGATATTATATGGAACGAAGAAACCTTGCGTATATTCAACTCGAAAGCGTGGAGAGAAACTATTGTAGCAGCTATCCTTGGGATAAAGTTTCTTAAGGAAGCTTCTCATGTTTTACGCGGCTTCTTTCAGCCTGAAAAAACCTGAGGAGCAACAATATTTAATATGAACGGCTCCCGGAATAAACGATTAATATTGCCTTTTTTTTAAGGAGGCTACTTGCAAGTTTCAAGCACTTTTTACTTTTTTTTTTTGAGAAAGACGAACTTATGCAAAGTAGTTTCTTATTAATGTGTGAAAATAATGTTTGAAAACTGGGAAATTGGGAATTAATTTGAGAACTTGGAAATTTGAATGTGAAAAATTTAAAAGCTTGAAAAATTAGAAAATTGAAGATTTGAAAATTTATAAATTTAGAAACTTAGAAATTTTACATCTCTTCAACTTGAAAATTTAATATCTGTAGACAACTAATGGACAATATTATATTAACACTAAAACATTGCTAATTTATACTGACTAATGTTCCTTCATCTTATACCATCCCCTAACCTATAAATGTTTCTTTAACTCATCTTCAGATTCATCGAACTTTATCAAGAAAACCCTACACCTCAAACAATAGTTCTCGCAACTGCCTTTAATTTATCTACCGAGAATTATTAGTACCTGATCGTACATAGTCTGCATCATAGATGGTGTTTGACACAGCGAGTCGAATTGCGTTCCTTCTTGAATATCGTGACCGTTTTAATAAACACCACGTGTGCACAGTGTTCGGTGCATTCTAATAGTGTTATGATACAGTGGTTTCGGTCAGAGAACGTCACAGGTAAAGTCATTCAATGCTTTTAATCGAGTATTTATTTGCAATTATACATACAATGGATTTGGTAGACTAAGGTCATAACTGTTAGTAAACTTTGCTTTAGTACGGTGAGTTGCTGAACTTTTTCGTTGACACCATCGGAAGCATTATTGTTTATATGCTCAGTTGAATGAGAAATTTTAGAAGTAAATATTGTGATATAAGGTGTGAAATCTTATTTGTAAAATTATGAGATTATCTTTCTTTGTTTAAAAGATTGATTGATTGATTTTGTTTGATTATCTTTGTTCATACTTTGATTGCTTCATAAATGTGTGAATAAATAGTAGAGTAGAATAATATAAAGAGTAGTAAATTAGTGCAAAAGTAAAATAGTGAAATTGTGACAAAATAACATGCAAAATATGCAGTAAACAAAGAAGAATATTATATTACACTACTTCAAATATGCAGAAATTAAATATTTTTATAATAGCAGAAAAATAAAGTAATAATTTTGAAATCACATTAAACATTTGCCTCCATTTTGTTGACGTCAGAGTACAACAAAATGGCGCCTCCGATGAAGCTTGAAATTCCTTAAAATTAATTGCATAAACAATTTACTAACAATTTTTACTGAAACTACCTGATTGTTTAAAAATCATCTGATTACTATGTATAATTTACCTAACAATCTATTTATCTAATAATCTATCTAATAATTTATCTAACAAAATTATTCGTCATTTCAGAGTCCAAAAATGTCGGAGATTAAATACAGCGCTCAGTCATCGTCCGATTTTCCCGAGGACCAAGAACGTTGCAATAATTGCGGAGTTATACTAACAGAGAATCATCAGTGTAAAAAATGGAGGCGAGAAAGAGATCCGAGACCTCGACGCAATCGTTGCAGATGTAAACACAAAGACGGCACGTCAATATATCAGTCGACTATTTCCGAAAGGAAATCATATGAGTACAAATCGGTGGGAACGCAAACGGATGCTGTTGCTAATTCACGGATATCGACTTCTACACAGACGGAGGATATTGATCAAAACGAAGAAGAAACGTACGAAGAGCTCAGCAGAAATATATTTGAAAAAATGATTTATCATAAATTTCTGTTACTTGATTTACATAATACTTGCAATAGACTAAAACAGTAAAATTCTTATAACACAGTATTTGCAATAATAGTGAAATATCTTTTGTTCTTTTTTATCAATTTTATTTTGCGACGATTTTTGATGAAATATAGAGAAATATTAATATTTTAAGTTTGCGTATTTAAGGACATGTTTAAGTTTAAACGCAGAATTGTTAAATTATATGTTTCTCAAATTGTTTTTAATGGTAGTTTAATTTTTTAGGTACTGTTTAAAATGTTCTTTCTTTCGTTCCTTTTTTATTTTAATGTACTAGGTGTAGATCTAATTCAGTATTGTCATATAGTAATACGTTTTGTTGATGAAGAAAGTTGTTTCGTTATTTTTTAAGAAATATTGTGATAACAATTTAATATTGATATGTTTAATTGAAACGCTTGAATTTGAGTTTTAAATGTGAAATTTTTATAAAATATGTGGTATCTTATGTTTGGACAACATGATTTAGGTTTTATATGAAATATGTGACAATGTAATGTATCAAATTTACATTCATATAATCAAAGTATTACAACATATCCAACTTCAAATCAATTCTATTATTGTTAATTGATTATAAATATATATATTTTAATACATTTAATGTTTAATATTGCATCCAATACCTTGACCTTATTAATATTAGATTCTAAATTATTTTTACTTAAAACAGTAATATTAAAATAAAATTAAAAAATTAAAAATCCTAGTTATATTAAAAATAAAATATATTGTATTTTATTCAGACTTTATTGTACTAAAGTTAATTGTAATAAATATGCTAAGAAAAACATAGTAGACAAAAAAAATTCAAGATGTAAGGACTCAGTTTCGATGACCTTGATCTTGGCACTAAGGTCATCGTCCTGAATGACCTTCAGAGGGTTAAAACCACACTTAGTTTGTTAGGCAGATACATACACCGACATCTGTGCAATTTTTGGTAAAACCCTTTCCTACTTTTAACTTCAATTTTTATTACAAAAAGGAAAAACAGTAATATGTATAATTACTGCATGTATTTTTCTGCACCCATCATTGCTTTTAAATGTTTTAATGAAGAAATATTTATCTTTTATTGATATAGTAGAACGTGATACGAAAATGATAAATTTATTTTGAACTAGAATTGTTTTCACCAAACTATTATCAATTTTTCATCATTCTTAGGCTAACCCTTGTTATCCTAAGGGTTCCATTTTTGCGTGCTGCCATCTAGCGGCAGAAAATGGGAATTAATCAAACTACAGTTCCAAAAGTGTGTACTTCACCCTGTTCGCCGGAGAGATGGCGCCACTAGTTTCATTTTTTTTTTAATTCAATTAATATCGATTTTATTGATTAATATGCTATATATTTACTATATATTTATTAATACTGATTTTATACTGCTTGCAATATATTCCCTAGGTCCGAAAATGCGCATTATGTGTTCAGAATAATTCAAACACCATACTCTACCCCATCGATGGTACAGGGAACGACATAAGAATGATAACAAATTTTCTATCCAGTCGCCAGAAACTATTTTGTTAATTATCTTTTATATTAATTACTCAAAATTGCAAGACACAACTAACAAACTTATTTTATAAATTACTCTACTCGAAGAATACAAACTGTACTTAAAAATTAAATCATAAATTACCCTGTACAATTTTTTATTTTTTTTTTTCAATTATATGTGAAACACCAAAATTCTTTCAGGTATAAAAAAACTGACATAAAGGAAATAGTACACGAAGCACCAGTCACCGGCTATGAATAACAAAAGGTGTTCATTCATCTTGTACTCAGACACCATCGAGAACCATTGTCAGGTGAACAAAAGCTAGTCAAATTTTCCCGAAATATTCTCCTTCGAATAAAATCATTTTCTATTGTTCGATTTATCGATTCACACCTGAACGCAATACAGATACATTACAGAGGTTCAATGCATGCTGTGAAATATGTAACTGCACGTGCTGACCGTAATCCATCTTTTGTAAATGTACAATTGATTTCAGATAATACCTATACAAACTCTACCCATTATTAAAATTATTAATTTCATCATTTTTCAGGTTTTCAATTTTGCAGAGTTTAAATTTCAAAATTTTTTGATTCCTAAATTTTTTAATTTCTCAGTTTTCAAATTTCCATTATTTAAATTATTAATTTTCCAATTTTTCAAGTTTTCAATTTTGGAGAGCTTATATTTCACAATTTTTTAATTTCCCAGTTTTCAAATTTCCATTATTTAAATTATTAATTTTCCAATTTTTCAAGTTTTCAATTTTGGAGAGCTTATATTTCACAATTTTTTAATTTCTCAGTTTTCAAATTTCCATTATTTAAATTATTAATTTTCCAATATTTCAAGTTTTCAATTTTGGAGAGCTTATATTTCAAAATTTTTTACTTTCTCAGTTTTCAAATTTCCATTATTTAAATTACTAATTTTCCAATTTTTCAAGTTTTCAATTTTGGAGAGCTTAATTTCAAAATTTTTTACATTTCCCAGTTTTCAAATTTCCATTATTTAAATTATTAATTTTCCAATTTTTCAAGTTTTCAATTTTGGAGAGCTTATATTTCAAAATTTTTTAGTTCCTAAATTTTTTAATTTCTCAGTTTTTCTCAGTTTTCAAATTTCCAAATTTCAAAATTTTTTACTTTCTCAGTTTTCAAATTTCCATTATTAAAATTATTAATTTTCCAATTTTTCAAGTTTTCAATTTTGGAGAGCTTATATTTCAAAATTTTTTAGTTCCTAAATTTTTTAATTTCTCAGTTTTCAAATTTCCATTATTAAAATGACTAATTTTCCAATTTTTCAGGTTTTCAATTTTGAGGAGTCTAAATTTCAAAATTTTTTAATTCCAAATTTCTGTATCTCTGAATTTTCAAATTTTTCAGTCTTTAAATTTCCAAACTGCTAAATTCTCAAATTTCAGAATTTCTAACATCTAAGTAAGTGCCTGAATGTCTGAATTTCTCAATTTTTCCAAATTCCGAAAGCGTCAAATTTTTACAGAGATTTAATTCAAGGCTATAATTTCCAAACACCCGGTATGTCAAAACATTGAGTCAACGTTTGAAACAAAGACTCTAGTATTTCCCGCTCTCAGCTCAGATATCGTCCCCGCTAGCAGCGCGATATACAGTTAAATCGAGAGAAAAATCCGATAAAAGTCGCAATAAAAAGTGCTTTATTCAGCACGCATATCGAAATTGAAAAACTCCGAACTGGTGCATCGTCACGTTGATTCCGAGAGTATAGGGCAGGGCTTTGGATCGTTGCGATCAACGTGTTTTATACGACGATAAATCCATGTAGCAACAAACGAGTTTCTTCGCGTAGGATTTTAATGGCCACAAATCTTGTTCGTTTTCGATTCAAGATATAACGGAGGTCTGAAAGCTAGTATTAACTCAAAACGTATTTCAAGGGATGAAGAAGGTAGAACTGACAATACCTTGTTAGAGATATATATGATTTTAGATTTCGAAATGTGTGAAGTAATAAATCTAAATCATATAGGTAATGCTAATGATAAATTTATTGATATATGTCTTGAAATAAAAATAGAAAATTAAATTAAATATATGTAGCATTTTTGAGAGTGCATGAAATATGAAATCTTTGACTTTGAAATTTGAGGAGCAGTTATGACGATTTTGGGAATTTAGAAAAGGGATTAGGAGAAAAGGAATTTAGAAATTTAAAATTGACCTTCACCTTAAATTTCAAACATTCAACCCCCTATCGCATATTGCAGAACTTTCTTACATTTTTTCATCGCAAAGTGCAGTAAAAAATGCAAAATCGTATAAAAATTTGCAAACCACAATTTTTATCGAGGGCGTAGATTTTTATATTATTTTTGCAAGTTTCATTTGAGTCGCATTCTACTCTTTAAATGAGAATGAAAGTTGTAAAAAAACTTTTACATGAAGATTTGATTAACACGTTAGTTTTTCCGCGATGAATATGTGATAAAAAAACGAGATATGTAGTAACAAGTAAACATGCCAAGTACACACGAAAATCCATCACGAGCTCTTTTGATGGATCACCGCGCGAGATTGATCTATCATATCTGAGCGAAGGTTCGTCGAAATAAATGGAAAAGAAGTTGGAACGTTCAAGGAACAAGTCATCGATTCATCGAACTTTCATTTATCCACAATTATCTCTACCAAAAATCTCGTATCTGTTTTTTGTCGACGTTGTTACTTCTTATATTTTACTTTTTTACTTTAGTCTTTGATTCCATTTCTGTACTTCATTTTTTTACTTTAGTTTTGTGTGTTCTTCGAGTATATTTATGACAATATTTAAGAATAAATACGTAACTAGATAATGATGTAGTTAATAAAAACTTCAATTTTTTTGGAACTTTAACTTGGACCATTTTCATCCCCTTCTACAGGGAGACGTATAAATAAATAAATGCAAAATAATTTTACAATTAAATCTACAAATAAAACTAGAAATAAATATGCAAATAAATGTAAAGTAAATTTATAATTATATGTATAAATACACAATTGTATAAATATAAAATAAATGTAGAATGTATAAGTTAACGTAAAATAAAAATATAATTCAATGTCCAAATAAAGATAAAATAAGCATACAGTTAAAAATAACAAATAAATTGAATAAATGTAATAAATTGTACAAACAGTCAATACTAAAAAAATTTCAATTTTTGTCCAATCAGAACCACAGCAAAGGAAGTATAAAAACAGGAGGACTGTTCATTGCGTAGTCCTTTGAATCGTGTGGTGAGATTGGCGATCGGAGTCGATCAAGTGTGGGGCGATAAAGGTCGGCAAGACTATGTCTGAAGGGGTGACTGAGCAAAAAGATAGAAGGAGAGGGTGCACAGTTCGGAACGAAGTCTGTCTCCGGGGGGGTTACAGGTGGTTGCTCCTGGAAGAAAGAATCGAGAGAAAAAAAAGCACCGCGAAGAAAGAGGCTGAAAGCAGGGGAAAAAGAGAAGAGAACCGTGCACGAGATGTGCGCAATTTGATTACCGGCTGAGTTTTGTTTCGTGTAGGTAAGTTGAATAATGAAGCACAGAGTAAACGCGGC